CCTTCCCTTCGTCCCTCCAGTACAGGTCCGCGATCTGCGCAAACTTCGCCACCGCGTCCGCATCGTCATATGCGTGCTGGGCACCTTCAGCATAGAGTGAAGGGAGGCGAGGCGGAAGCGAGAGCAATTCGGAAGCGTAAGGAGTTCGGACTTGATGGTTGGAACTGTGACCCTGGCCGCTGCAACGACTGCCCCCAGCGCGTCGAGTCGCGATACAGCTTCTCGACCCGAGCGTGCTGCTGAAGAACCCCACGGACTGAAATCGCGGGTCGCAGCGACGAGGGACCTCCAGCTCTCGCGAGCTAGGGCGCCCAGATCGCCTCCCGCCCAGCATCCCAAATCGAAGCGCCACCGAATGAACGATGTCGCCAATCGAAATCAAACCCAAGCCACCGTCCTCCGAGCCTGGAACACGAATCGCGAGCGACGGTACCGCTCCTCCTCCCAGACAAAGTCCGTAAGTGCCGTCTCCGCCGCCTTAATGAACCATTGAGGCGGTATGTCGAAGGACAGCACGTGGAGACCGTCGAGATGATGTGAGCGTTGGCATAGAAACTTCCACTCGGCGAAAGTGTCCGGTCTCGAGCGGCGCGGGTCTTGGCCTTGATCCTGTCAAGAACATGGGTCCAAAACAGTTTCGAGTCACCGTGGCGAAAGAAGGCATAGCCGCACCACTTGAAGCTCTCCCCCTCCTGCACGTTGGCGCGCTGCGCAGTCTCGTCCGAAGCCAGTTCGGTCCGAGTGGTAGCACCAGCGTCTTGTCCGTGTTGGTCTTCCCGTTGGTAGCCTCGTACCACGTCTGCGACAGCGTTTGCAGCTTCGACAATGCCGCCGGTGACTCCACCACCACCACAGCATCGTCGGCAAACGCCAGATGCGTAAGCTGCGCACGCGGCCCCCCTGCCACACCTTCTGCAGGTCGAGCGCGATCCCGCGCCGAACGAGGGCGTCGAGGAAGGGCTGGAACGTGATGTTCCAAACCGGGCACGAGAGGGGATCCCCTGACCGAGACCACACAGCAACCGCACCAAGTCCGTGGGAACCCATTGACAAGGTAGCGCACCCCCAGAGTCTCGGGATCGTAGAGAGCGCGCAGCAGCGAGATGAAACGCTCACCGAACCCAAAGGCCTCAAAGACCTCGAAGATCCAGGCGTGATCGACCCGATCGTACGCGCTCTGCTGATCCAAAGACAAGAGGGCGCCCTCGGGGAAAACATCAGTGCCTAGCGACTTGAGTTTTTCGAGAAGGAGAGTGAGATGACTTCCCGCGTCCGCTGAACGTCTTGATGGCATGAAACCGTGTTGCGCCGGCGGCAAAAGCTCGCCGAGCACCCCATTGAGTCGCGCCACCAAGACCTTGCTGAGGACCTTGTAGGTCGTCTCGCGCAATGTGATCGGTCGGTATGCCCCAGTGATTTCAGATTGGCCCCGGTTTATTCTTGGGCAAGAGCCGCACCAGCCCCTCTGCAAGGACGCCGTCATTTTGCCGCCCTCCCAAATCGAGTTGAACAAGTCCAACAGCTTGGGAGCAAAGTAGGTTGGCAGCTTGAAGAGCTCGTACGGAATGCCCGAGGGCCCCGGTGATCGCCCCGAATCCGTCTTCTTCAACGCCGCTTCAACCTCGAGGAGGGTGAAGGGCTCGTCAAGCGCCACTCTCGCTTGACGAGGCAGCCGACGACCGAACGTAGGGTCCGAGCGGTCGTCATCGTAGCATTTCGCTGCGCGAATAGGGTCGAGCAGGGACCGGCGTGCGTTCGTCGGGTCGCCACGAGCTGGGTCGGCGTGAAGAGCGACTGCGCGTGCCGTGAAGCAATACCCAGCGCCTCCTGCATGTCAACGGTCTCGGTGCCATCCACATCCTCCAGCGAGACGATGCTCGTCTGGCGACTCCGGCGGTTGAGGCGCGTGCGAATGCTTGCCGATTGACCTTCCCTCGAGTCGACTGACGGCACATGCGCACGAATGCGCAGCCACTGAGCCTCCTTTACCGCCAACTGGTCCAACCGCGACTTGGCAAGAGCATACGCATCGCGCTCGGCCTCATTCATGTGCTCACCGCGTGCCTCCAAAGCCTCCATGACGGATTGGCTCTCGGCCCGCAGTCGGCGCATGTCGGCACGAGTCGAGCGGTATCGTGCATGGCCAGCGACTGCAACCGCCCGCAGAGCGGCGTCATAGACGTCGCCGAGCGGAGCGGTCCCCTCGAGCCTTCGATAGACCTCGTCGACGACCCCGGGAATCGATGCGACAAAGTCTTGATCGTCAAAGACCATTGGGTTGAGCCTCGAAATGAAATCGCTCGTGGAGGGAAGAGAAAGGGGGGTTCGGCATCAGCGTTCGATGTAGGCAAAGCGAAAGTCGCAACTACAGGTCTGTGGTCCGAACAGGGCGCATCGAAGAGCGTAGAAGCGCTCAACAACCGGTTCGCCCAACTGCATTGGACAAGAATATAGTCGATCCGCGACCACGAGCAAATCTTTCGCTCTTCCCCTCTACCACGGTAGTGAGGACGAGTGAATGCAGGGGTGCAAGGATGGACATGTCGGACCGTGTCGAGTGCCTTGAACGCGATCTTTGACAGCAAGGTCTGCCAGTGCGATACAGGAGTCCAAGCGCGATCGGTGATGGACACTCGGTCGACCGATACATCCGGACAATCGTTGAGATCGCCGGCCAAGATCCGAAGAGTCTTGGGTCTCGGGGCGTTGAAGTGCAGAAGCCCGAAAAAGTCGCGACGATCGTCCTCCTGCACCGGCGCGTACATGTTGATGATCTCGACATCGAGCTCCTCAAGACGAAACACCGAGCGCAGAATCCGACCGTCGAAACGAGGAGCTCCTGCAAAGACGACCGGGGTAGAGGAAAGGAGATGGCCCGCCAAAGGTGAGCCATCGGGTATGAGGGTAAGGACATGAGGAGTGAAACGAATACAAGCCCCCGGCCAAGCACTCTCGAAGCCTTCGCGCGACGCGTTGTAGCTGAGGTGGTGCTCTTGCAGGAGGATGGCCGCAGGGGCCGGCCGAAGGGTTTTGAGATAACGGATGATTTTGACTTGGTTGACTGCGTTCTTCATCGATCGGACGTTGAACGTCAACACGGTGAGTGACTCAATCATGATTAAATCAGTTCAGCGCCGCCCCCTCGAATTCGGTCACCTCGGACCTGTGACCCCCTGAACTGTTGCCCCCTGAGCCATCACCCCCTGATGCACCGAGGATCATGGCGGATCCCGTTTTTTTTTTTTGTAGAAACTGTTCATCATATTGCCCCCAAGTCCTGTTCCCCCTGATTGGCCTACGGAAAAACTAGATGGAAGTCGACGATGATAACACAAACCGCCCGCAAGATGCGAGAAACGGGCCAAGTCCACCAATCCGATACTTCGGATTCAAGTGCCCCAGCCAAGCGGTTGCTCCCCCCAGGAGACGAATGAGAGAGAGAAGAGAAAGAGAGAAAATGAAAAAGAACTGGCGTACTAACGACAAGAGGCCCACCCCGCACCCACTTCCCAACTCGGTCGAGACAAAGACAGGAGAGCGACTGCGCAGCTACCCTGACCCGCGAAGTCCCCAAGTCTATGCTCGGTCACAACAAGACGCGGTGGAGGCCCCTCAAAACCTCCACCTCAGCAGTCCCTGGCCCCTCAAAGCCGACTTTCTGCCTGTGTCTGCTGATCCCTCCCTTGACTCAGAACCCCGAAGCCAAAGAGCGCGAGCCACCGTCGAGTCAATCCCAAATCGCGAGCCGGTCCATGAGCAACGGAGGCAGACCTGTAATAAAAGAAAGAAAGATGAAGAAAATATATTTAGTATACAGTTTTTGTAAGAGGATGTGTGATGTGGGGTGTGTGAGTGTGGGATCGGGTGGGGGAAATCGAACCCAGCCTCTACTGCCCTCGCCCGCCCCTTGCTCCCCCCGCCCTCAACTTCATCCTCTCCTCCAGTACCACCCTCCTCCGCTCCAGGCTTTCCATCCTCGTCCCGTGCTTCTGCATCCTCCATCTCCCACTGCTGATCATCTCCAAGACCATCCCCGTGAAGATCTCGATCGTCCTGCCTGCGCCTTCCTGTTCGCTGAGCTTGGCCTTGAGCTTGGGGAGGCCAAAGAGTCGTTGTAGTGTCGTGTACTCGGCGTCCTCGATCGTGTCGCATCCGAGCGCGTCGCAGAGCACGCCCCTTGCCGCGGTCCAGATGTTCCGCGAGTCGACGCAGCCGAAGAAGTAGTGATCGGTGTCGTCCACCGGCGCTTCGCACACGAGGCACGCGGGAGAAGTGTCGTGCTTTTGCTCGTGCTGGAGTTTGCGCGTCGGGGTGAAGCGGAGGATCAGCTTGAACCAAACTTCCCTCTCCCTCGCCGTCAGTGCCTTCGAGTTGACTGCCTTCCAGAAGCTCCTGAGGTCGTCCGGCTGCGGTGGTCCCTTGAGCCCGAGCATGTTGGTAAATGCCTTCGCGTTCAGGACCCGGCGGATGCGACGGACTGTGTAGGGGCGAGCCATGTTCAGCAGCGTATACTGGCTCGCCTGTTGTGGAAGCACCGGGTCCGGAAGGCGCTGCTCCATTGCGAAGCGGGCCACGGGCTTGGGGATGATCGCCTCGAGTGGTGCGCTGGTGCCGATCCGGGGAGGCACGTTGAGTCGTCCCGCCGCCACCGCCGCCGCCAAGGGGGTGTTCTTGTGTCGATCGACAGTGAACCGGTACCAGGCCGCGATTGCCAGTCGCTGCGGGAGCCCGCGTCGATCGTACTCGCTGTTGTCGCCGAGCACATCCGCCGGCGGCGTCCAGAGGTGAAACCCCCACCCGCATACAACTCGCGTCGATAGAGATCCGCCACCTTCGGGTAGCCCTGGAGACGAAGGTAGTCAGGTACATGAACCGCGTCGATGGTCTGTCTCCCTCTGATGGGGGTGTGGAGGCTGCCGAGCAGGGTGGGCAGCGCGAGCAAGTTCGCGGTGGTCAAGGCCCTCGGGTTGACCTGCGCGTCGTGAAGTTTCGGAACGCCCAGTGCGGCGTGCCATCGGGGATGAAGGTCGTTGGGGATGGGAGTGGATGGATGTGGCCAGAGATCGGTGGCCAGGTCGAGGTCGGGCTGAGCTCGCTGGAGTGATGCGCGCGCAAGTCCTTGCCAAATCGCGCCGGAACCGCCGAGAAGAACGTCCCAGAGCCGTGCCGCAACCGCGTCCACAACGTCCCGCATCCTTATCACCCCGAGTCCCCCCTTGTTCTTGGCGGTGAACACAATGTCTCTGCCGTAGCTGGTCCTGCCCTTGCCCCCACGGACGAAATCGACGAGCATGTCATCGAGCTTCTTGACGACTTCGGGCGGCGGGATGTCGGCTGCAAGGAAATGCAGGATCTTGGGAATGGCGTACCGATTGACGTAAAAGGCACGGGTGTGGTGCGTGAGCCAGCGATGCTGAACCGCTTCCAGCGTCGCCTCGAGCCGTTCGATGAGATTCGCGTAGGCGAGTTCGGTGTCGCCGCTGGGGTCGAAGGGGAGGCCGATCCACTCGAGCGACTCGCCTGCGGCCTTGACGACGATTGGCCGTTCCCCAGGGTCCCAGCGACGTCCAATCGGTAGGACGACCGTCTTGTCCGTGTTGAGCCGGCCATTCGTTGCATGCCTCCAGTCGAGCGCCAGGTCATCGAGCAAGTTGAGTGACTCCAAGCCCGCGACGGCGACGACAACGTCATCGGCAAATGCAAGTGATGTAATGGCGCGGCTCTGTGGGTACGGATGAAGTGCAGGTATGGAGAGATTCAGCGCGATGTTTCGACGGTGTAGAGCATCCAGGAACGGCTGAAACACGATGTCCCAGACCGACGATGACGCCGGGTCCCCTTGGCCGAGCCCACACGTCAGTCGCACCGGCGCCGTCAGGAACCCATTGATGATGTAGCGCGCCGAGGTCGAGTCACCCGAGTAGAGCATCCTCAGCACGCGAAGAAAGGTGGTAGGAACGCCCAGAGCGTCGAAAATGGCAAAGATCCAGTCATGCTCGACGAGGTCGTAGGCGGATGATTGGTCAAGAGACAAGAGCGCGGCCGCGGGGAACTCGGTCCTGCGCGCGCCAAGTTCCTCGATCAGGAGACGAAGGTGTAGTGCAGCGTCGGCCGATCGGCGGTCCTTGACGAAGCCGTGCTGCTGCGGCGGGAGGAGATCGGGCAGAATTTGGTTCAATCGGGCGACGTAGACCTTGGTAAAAATCTTGTAATCGCACTCGCGCAGGGTGATGGGCGATACGACGAGAGTTCGGCGCGATCGGCATTCTTCTTGTGGCGCTTGAAGATGAGGCGCACGAGTCCCTGGCCCTGCTTGGGAGAGAGTGAACCGCGCTCGATCATCGCGTTGTAGGCCTTGGTCAGCACCTTGGACCACGCCTCCGGTGCGGTCTGATAGAGTTCGTAAGGCACGCCCGACGGGCCCGGCGATCGCCCCGGGTGCGTCGTCCCGATCGCGGCCACGACCTCGTCCTCGGTGATGGGTTGCTGGAGGAGATCAATCTGCGCTTCCGAGAGTCGGCGCAGAAAGAGCGGATCTGAGCGCGGGTCGTCGCAAGTCCGTGCCGCCCTGATCGGCACGAGGAGTTCGTCCCGAAGTCGGTCGACGCGTTCCGGATCACGAGGCTCGATGTGGTAGAGGCGCTGGAAATGCGCCTGCGTGTGGTCAAGAGCGACATCAATGTCATGCGTTAGCTCTCCGTTGCCCAAGCGCAGTGCTGTGATCTTGGAGTCCGAGTTCCGCGCCGCGAGCTTGGCGTGGACCGGCCGCGACAGTCGTTCCTCGGAAGCGATCTCGGGGACGTGGGCTCGGATCCGGAGTAGGCGCGCGCGCTCCTCGACCGCCCGCTTGAGTTCCTCGGACGTCCTTGTCCATTCTGCCGTTTCCGCCTCCCCCATACCGGTAACGCCTCCAGATCCTGCACCCCCCACCAAATACTCCATCCGTTCCGTCCGCTCCCGATGCAGCCTCCTCGCCATCTCCCCACCCCTGTCCCTGCACGCCTCCAGAACCTCCTCAAGCTCTCGCACCGGATCCTCCCCGCTTGCCCCTTCCAACCATCCTTCCATCATCCGCTGAAATTCCACCGTCTTGAAGGTTGTGGTATTGATTCGATGTAGTTGGTCGATGTGGTAGGTAGGCTGAGCTGTGGGAGAGCCGCATCAAGATCGTCTGAGAGAGCTAGTACGATCAAGACCGGTCGGTGATCGGAAAGATCCTTGGGATAGTCGTAGATCGTCGAGGCCTGGTCGAGCCTTTTTTGGTGAGCTCTTTGTAGGAGAAAGTAGTCAAGCCGGGAGAAGGAGTTGGGTCGCTTGCGATTGGGATTAGGTCGAGTGAAAGATGGGGTGATGGGGTGCTTGTAGCGGATGCAGTCCGTGTAGGCCGAGTCGAGCTTGCCCATCAGAATCGGCCAGTGGTGGCCGCGCCGACTTTGGTTCCGCCGATCGACTTCTGGGCGCGGGCAGTCGTTGAGATCGCCGCCAAGGAGTCGGAGGTGGGATTTCTGTGTTTTGTGGAGGATCAGTTTGTCGAAGAATTTTGCTCGTTGTTTTGGGTCAACGGGCGCGTAGAGGTTATTGATTTCTAGAATTTTGATGTCGCCCGCAGACGAAAGGAGGTGACGAGGAGCCGGCCGTCGAGTGCCGAGTGGGTGCGCAAGAGCTCGGCGTCGATCAGGGGCGAGTCGGCCGGGATCAGGGTCAGGCAGTGCTGGTTGATGAAGAGCTTGCCCTCGTACTCGTCCTTGATGAGCTGCCAGAATTGTGGTCTGATGAAATGCTCTTGTAAGAGAATCGCGGAAGCTTTGAATGTGGAAAGGTAGGTGTAGATATTACGTCGTTTTTCCGGGACCCCCATGCCCCTTCTTACGTTCCAGGTGATGATGGTGTGCTTGATCATTAATGGGTAGTCGAGGCGAGGCGCTCTTGGCGGTGGGACGTCCTCAAAGAGGGAAGGGCGGGCAGGACATCGTCCTCGGCTCGTGTCGGACCATCGTTTTTCCTCAGCTACCCCTCTTCCTTTCCCTCTGTCCACCTTCGTCACCTCGACCTGCATCGCCGCTGCCGCCCGACATCGACCTCGTCACCCTCCCGCCCCTCTATTCCATCCTTCACACGAACACCGGCTCTTCCTTTGATGATGACTCGCTTGGCGTCGGTCGGTTCGTCACTTGGGTCACTGGGTCGCCGCAGTCTGCGACCTCTTCATCACCTGCTTCTTGAACTCGCAGCGGTCCCCCCTGATGTTGATGGAGCGTATCTCACCGTCCTCGTCCCACGTGGCAAAGTTGTGACGCACCAGAGGGGGTTTCAGCGTTGAGCCTCCTCTCGATGCTTTGGTCCCGCTCAAGTCGTCCTGCTCAACCCAGTTAGCTCTGATGCAATTTTTTTTTTTTACTGGGCTCATAAATTGCAATCCTTCGGGTTGGCTGGGACCGCTAGAAAAAGAGCTAAAAGAGGTTATAAAGCAACGACGGCAAGCAATTGGGTGAAAGTCAAACCCCTGCGCGCAAAGAGCGCTGCGCAGATCAAAACTCGCCGAGCACCTAACGCGGACTCCAACGGCGGTGAGTACTGCTGCCGCTTCACGTCCCAAGAGCGGGAGCGAAGATACTCGAAAACCAGGCAAGAGCGCCTAGAGAAAGAAAAGGGGAGAATATACAAAAATTCACGACTGGAAACACGGAGAACCAGGAATACTAAGACAGAGAGGAGGGGAGGAGGAGGGGAACACACCCGAGGGCCAAGGGAGGGGGTCGAAGCCAGAGCTAGAGGTCCCCAGGGACTGACAGGCCGCAGCCAAGCCCCAGCTACTCGTCACCCCGACAGCGCCTGATGTCCTCCTTGGCTGAGTCTCGAGTGCTGGCTGTTGAGCCGTCGGGGCCGAGCGAAAACGATCCAATACAACGAAACAAGCCTCGCCTTGACGCGAGGATATTGACCAAAAAAACGAGCGACCTTTCTTCCCGATCCCATGCCGTAGATCTTGACCAACGCGAACGAACGATCTATTCGACGGAATCCAACACACGGCTTAGGAATAAAAGGAGAAGTGGCTGAAGCGTAGTCCAACAACCGAGCAACAGGAAAGAGAAGAGGAAGGGAAGGGAAAAAAAAGGGGGGGGAAAGAGGGGGGAGAACTTCACAAAGCCTCCAACGCAACGACGATCGACCCGGCTTGCCGATCCATCCAAGAACGAAAATCGCTACTGCGCAAAGTAGAGAGAGGGAGAGGTGCGCAGCCTTCCACTGCGCAACAAGTTTCAAGACAGTCAGCTTCTGACCGAAAAGGAAGGCAGGAAAGGAGGGGAGGAAAATGGGAAGGAAGGACTTAAACTCGGTCATCACACCTCCCAATCTCGAACCCCAGGCACAAAACCCGCTCGAGAGAGAAAATCTCGCTCGAACGCTCTGAGCGCACTGGGAAGCGAGGGAGGGGCCACGACGTTGTCCAGCTCGAACCGCTGATGAACGCGCCAGCGGAGCAGGTGCAGCCGCTGGAAGCCGATCGCGCAGGCCAGCCGAACCCACATCCATTTCGAGGTCGTTCTCCCACGACCCGCAAAAGGGGGAGCCCCATAGTCAGCTGCTCCGGAGTGAACGTCGACGGATCGACGTCGGTATCCTCGATGCCGAGCTTGTCAAGCAGAATGCGTAGCACCCCACCCAGAAGCTGGTCGAGTACGCGCACTCGAAAAAGTAGTGGGACACCGTCTCGATGACGCTGCATCGTTGCCACAGAACAGACACGTCGGCGAAGAGGCATGACCCTGAGTATGCTGCCTCTTGCGCGTCGGCGTCACGTCGTACATGAGCCGCCAGTGGGTGTCCTGCTCGACAGCAGACGCGAACCGGTCATGAAGCCATCTCCAGAAGCGCTTCCTATCGCTCTGAGAAGTCCCATCAGGGAAACGCTTGACACGGTCCTCCCTGGGAACCGCACCTTGTTCACAAGCCGACGAAGCTTGCGAATCGTAAAAGGTCGGGAGAGCCCAAAGAAGTTGAAGCACCGAGGACGGGGAGCCTCCTTGAGAGGTATCCGAGCAGGTCGCAACGCGGTCTTGGGCAGCAACGCTTTCGCCTTGAGCAACTGACCCACGCGCGACCACACGTGCTCGTGCTGTAGGGCGGGTTCCTTAGAGTGCTGCCAGAACCCGCGTCGATGACCAACCAGAGCCCATCCCTTCCCTTCGTCCTCCAGTACAGGTCCGCGATCTGCGCAAACTTCGCCACCGCGTCCGCATCGTCATATGCGTGCTGGGCACCTTCAGCATAGAGTGAAGGGAGGCGAGGCGGAAGCGAGAGCAATTCGGGAAGCGTAAGGAGTTCGGACTTGATGGTTGGAACTGTGACCCTGGCCGCTGCAACGACTGCCCCCAGCGCGTCGAGTCGCGATACAGCTTCTCGACCCGAGCCGTGCTGCTGAAGAACCCCCACGGACTGAAATCGCGGGTCGCAGCGACGAGGGACCTCCAGCTCTCGCGAGCTAGGGGCGCCCAGATCGCCTCGTCCGAGCCCGCCACAGCATCCCAAATCGAAGCGCCACCGAATGAACGATGTCGCCAATCGAAATCAAACCCAAGCCACCGTCCCCGAGCCTGGAACACGAAATCGCGAGCGACGGTATTTCGCCCTGCTCCTCCCCAGACAAAGTCCGTAAGTGCCGTCCGCCGCCTTAATGAACCATTGAGGCGGTATGTCGAAGGACAGCACGTGGAGGACCGTCGAGATGATGTGAGCGTTGGCATAGAAAACCTTCCCACTCGGCGAAAGTGTCCGGTCTCGAGCGGCGCGGGTCTTGGCCTTGATCCTGTCAAGAACATGGGTCCAAAACAGTTTCGAGTCACCGTGGCGAAAGAAGGCATAGCCGCACCACTTGAAGCTCTCCCCCTCCTGCACCGTTGGCAGCGCCTGCGCAGTCTCGTCCCGAAGCCAGTTCGGTCCGAGTGGTAGCACCAGCGTCTTGTCCGTGTTGGTCTTCCCGTTGGTAGCCTCGTACCACGTCTGCGACAGCGTTTGCAGCTTCGACAATGCGCCGGTGACTCCACCACCACCACAGCATCGTCGGCAAACGCCAGATGCGTAAGCTGCGCACGCGGCCCCCTGGCCACACCTTCTGCAGGTCGAGCGCGATCCCGCGCCGAACGAGGGCGTCGAGGAAGGGCTGGAACGTGATGTTCCAAACCGGGCACGAGGGGATCCCCCTGACCGAGACCACACAGCAACCGCACCAAGTCCGTGGGGAACCCATTGACAAGGTAGCGCACCCCCAGAGTCTCGGGATCGTAGAGAGCGCGCAGCAGCGAGATGAAACGCTCACCGAACCCAAAGGCCTCAAAGACCTCGAAGATCCAGGCGTGATCGACCCGATCGTACGCGCTCTGCTGATCCAAAGACAAGAGGGCGCCCTCGGGGAAAAACATCAGTGCCTAGCGACTTGAGTTTTTTCGAGAAGGAGAGTGAGATGACTTCCCGCGTCCGCTGAACGTCTTGATGGCATGAAACCGTGTTGCGCCGGCGGTAAAAGCTCGCCGAGCACCCCATTGAGTCGCGCCACCAAGACCTTGCTGAGGACCTTGTAGGTCGTCTCGCGCAATGTGATCGGTCGGTATGCCCCAGTGATTTCAGATTGGCCCCCGGTTATTCTTGGGCAAGAGCCGCACCAGTCCCTCTGCCAAGGACCGTCATTTTGCCGCCCTCCCAAATCGAGTTGAACAAGTCCAACAGCTTGGGAGCAAAGTAGGTTGGCAGCGCCTTGAAGAGCTCGTACGGAATGCCCGAGGGCCCGGTGATCGCCCCGAATCCGTCTTCTTCAACGCCGCTTCAACCTCGAGGAGGGTGAAGGGCTCGTCAAGCGCCACTCTCGCTTGACGAGGCAGCCGACGACCGAACGTAGGGTCGAGCGGTCGTCATCGTAGCATTTCGCTGCGCGAATAGGGTCGAGCAGGGACCGGCGTGCGTTCGTCGGGTCGCCACGAGCTGGGTCCGGCGTGAAGAGCGACTGCGCGTGCCGTGAAGCAATACCCAGCGCCTCCTGCATGTCAACGGTCTCGGTGCCATCCACATCCTCCAGCGAGACGATGCTCGTCTGGCGACTCCGGCGGTTGAGGCGCGTGCGAATGCTTGCCGATTGACCTTCCCTCGAGTCGACTGACGGCACATGCGCACGAATGCGCAGCCACTGAGCCTCCTTTACCGCCAACTGGTCCAACGCGACTTGGCAAGAGCATACACATCGCGCTCGGCCTCATTCATGTGCTCACCGCGTGCCTCCAAAGCCTCCATGACGGATTGGCTCTCGGCCCGCAGTCGGCGCATGTCGGCACGAGTCGAGCGGTATCGTGCATGGCCAGCGACTGCAACCGCCCGCAGAGCGGCGTCATAGACGTCGCCGAGCGGAGCGGTCCCCTCGAGCCTTCGATAGACCTCGTCGACGACCCCGGGAATCGATGCGACAAAGTCTTGATCGTCAAAGACCATTGGGTTGAGCTCGAAATGAAATCGCTCGTGGAGGGAAGAGAAAGGGGGGTTCGGCATCAGTGTTCGATGTAGGCAAAGCGAAAGTCGCAACTACAGGTCTGTGGTCCGAACAGGGCGCATCGAAGAGCGTAGAAGCGCTCAACAACCGGTTCGCCCAACTGCATTGGACAAGAATATAGTCGATCCGCGACCACGAGCAAATCTTTCGCTCTTCCCCTCTACCACGGTAGTGAGGACGAGTGAATGCAGGGGTGCAAGGATGGACATATCGGACCGTGTCGAGTGCCTTGAACGCGATCTTTGACAGCAAGGTCTGCCAGTGCGATACAGGAGTCCAAGCGCGATCGGTGATGGACACTCGGTCGACCGATACATCCGGACAATCGTTGAGATCGCCGGCCAAGATCCGAAGAATCTTGGGTCTCGGGCGTTGAAGTGCAGAAGCCCGAAAAAGTCGCGACGATCGTCCTCCTGCACCGGCGTACATGTTGATGATCTCGACATCGAGCTCCTCAAGACGAAACACCGAGCGCAGAATCCGACCGTCGAAACGAGGAGCTCCTGCAAAGACGACCGGGGTAGAGGAAAGGAGATGGCCCGCCAAAGGTGAGCCATCGGGTATGAGGTAAGGACATGAGAGTGAAACGAATACAAGCCCCCGGCCAAGCACTCTCGAAGCCTTCGCGCGACGCGTTGTAGCTGAGGTGGTGCTCTTGCAGGAGGATGGCCGCAGGGGCGGCCGAAGGGTTTTGAGATAACGGATGATTTTGACTTGGTTGACTGCGTTCTTCATCGATCGGACGTTGAACGTCAACACGGTGAGTGACTCAATCATGATTAAATCAGTTCAGCGCCGCCCCCTCGAATTCGGTCACCTCGGACTGTGAACCCTGAACTGTTGCCCCCTGACCATCACCCCCTGATGCCCCGAGAGGAGGATGGGGATCCCGCCCGGGTGACACGTCGGTTGCCGGGTGCCGAGCTCGAACGAAGGCGTCGAGGACTCGTCGAGGCTATCGAGGTTGTCGAGGTTGCCGATGATCCCGACGTGCCACCGGACAAAGGCGAAGGAGAGGTCGGGGTCGAAACGGGCGCCGCCGTCGTCGTCTGCGTCTCCTTTGTTGAGCCCAGGGTCGCACACGTCGACGTCTCTTCCCCA